ATAAGGGGGACTGGTATTTGGGTTAATTGTTTGATGATGAAACATAATAACTTTATTATTATGGGTTGAAAACCCTATGTACTCACCAGGTTTCCCAACCTGACCCACTCAGTTTATTTGTATCACATGTATCAATACGATGACACGTTACACTGAGAGGTTTAAAGGGAGATGTAAATCACGAGTATAAATGAATATAAGGTCTGTTTATGCTTATGTTTTGTATTGACGATGACATCTCAAAGTATTAACATAAAAAAAATACATTTCTTCTGAAATGCTTTGATAATATATTTATCATGTTTTCTGGGAACAAATTTCGCAATATTATTCCTTAAAATGGATACTCTGATTTCAAATAAGCATAAATAAATTTTTTAAAATGACCTTGAATTTGGGGATGTCACACCGGAGACACCATTACATATAAGTTGAAGTTTATTCGTTCCTTTTGCCCTAATGGGAAAAGCGATATCTTTGGGCCCCTCGGTGACTTGGTGTTGACATTATAATGCTGAGTCCAGGTAGGACTGGATTGATGTGTTCAATTAGTAGTCTGATGAGCTCATCACAAATAAGGAAATCGGGAAACAAAATTTTGGACAAGAGAGTGATTGTAATCCATGTCTCATGTCCATACGATATCTTGAAGAACGGAGGATTATTTGATCACTTATCTTAGGGCCGATGTCTGATCAAATCAAAGTCTAGCAGTTGCTTTGAAAAGCACGCTTTGCTGTTTAATTTAGAAGTTATACTTGCAATTATAGTTACAGACTTATCCAAGTGGGAGATTGTTCGATTAGGTGTCTAAGCTAATAAATATATTGGTATATACTTTAATTAAAATCAAAGTCCTTTTTGGGTTACCTCAAAACTAGCAATTGATTGGAATGACTTTTAGAGAGAGGGTTGACTCATTGGTTTATTATATGATTAATAAATAGCAGTAAATAATTTGTTAATATATTACGAGATTAATATATTAATTAGAAATAGTAATATTTAATTAATAACTAATCATAAATTAATTGGAATTAATTTTGGGATTAATTGGATTAATTAAAAGTGCAATGACTTACGCTGCAACTGTTCAAAAGTTGAAGAAGAGAAGAATTCTGGAATGTTCCTATGGTGGCCGAAAATTGGTGTGCTCCTAGGTTTTCTAGAATGTTCCATGTCGATAATATGAATAATAAGGAAACTAAATAAATTCAGATTTGAAATAATATTATTTTATTTCAAATTAGGGTTATCTAAGGTTTTCCTATCAGCTATAAATAGGGCCCCTTGGACTCCCTATTTTCGTCCCATGCATACCTAGAGCTAGAAGAGTCGAAATTCCGCTTCCACATCCTTTCTCCTATCAAGTTTTCTATTGCTAGGGTTTGGGTACAAACCATTAGAGACTTCATAATTTTGGTGTTATCTTTCCAAGGGAATTAAAGAAAAAAATTGTTGATTATTTACTAAAATAATCAAAAGGTATGTAAACCATAATCCTTGTTATTTTCGATAATAGTAGGATGCGTTAGGGTTCTTGATGTTCAATTGTTTTTTGCTTTCTATAGAGAAAACTTAGATCCAAAGTAGGTTGCATGTGAACTCAAGGGTTAAGTTTTTCCAAAGTAGGTTGCATGTGAACTCAAGGGTTAAGTTTTTCCGCCTCATGCTTTATTTTATAACCTACAAAATCTATCAGAAGCAACCATCAGTCAAAGGTTTAAGGTACATGGTAACTTTTATTGATGACTATTCAAGATTTTTTTGGGTGTATTTGATGAAGGAAAAGGCAGAAGTATTCCAAAAGTTCATAGACTTTAAAGAAGAAGCAAAAAGAGACTTGAAACATATTATAATGTGTTTACGTTCAGACAACACGGATGACTATTTCTCAGCTGAGTTCACTAACTACTTGAAAGAACACAAGATCAGCAGACAACTGACCTGCCCAAATACATCCTAACAAAATGAGGTCTCTGAAAGAAAGAACATGCATCTGAGTGAAATATGTAGAAGCATGTTACATGATAAAAATGTACCCTGGAGGTTTTGGGTTGAAGCCATGCAAACAACTCCATATATAGTTTATCGAATTCCACAGCAAGGACTCCGATTTGTGTCTCCTTTCGAATTACTTTGGAATGTAAAACCTAATGTAAGTCACTTTCGGGTATTTGAGTGTGTATGCTATGTTTTCATACCTAACCACCTTCACATCAAGTTAGAAAAGAAAGCAACATGATGCATATTTATAGGGGATGACAAAGAAATGAAAGGGTGGAGGTGTTGTGAAATGGAGTCTAGAAAATGTTATGTATCATGTAATGTAGTGTTTGATGAATTATCATCATGGTGGTCCCCAAACCAAGAAAAACGCCCAGATTCCAACAAGTTGAAGGAAGAGATTGAGTCATCAAGTGTTGATCTTATTCTTGGTAATGGTCAGGTCACAGTTGAAGAAGAAGAAACAACTACACATAGAAAACAACCTTGGCAAACTGGAATGTTTCACCCCATTGCTGAAAATGAAACATCGGATGAACCGACTAGTCTTAGAAGGTCATCTTGTGTAAGGAGACCTAACCCCAAATATGCAAATGATGCCATTGTGGTCGATGCTGTAACTGAGCTGACAACCTATGATAAAGCTTGTGTTAAAGACGAATGGGTTTCAACCATGAGAGAAGAATTTGAAGCTCTAAAAAGAAACCAAACTTGGGAGTTGACTCCAAAGCCAAGAATCACAAAATTGATTTCATGCAAGTGGTTATACAAAGTAAAACGGAAGGCAGACGGCTCAATAGAATGATACAAGGTGAGACTGGTTACACGAGGTTTTTCTCAAGAATGCGACCTTGAGTACGAAGAAACTTTCAGTCCCGTTGCAAAGTTAACAACAATGAAGGTCATCTTAGCACTTGCATCAGTCAAGAAATGGAAGTAGTGGAAAATGGATGTTAGCAATGCATTTCTGTATGGGGATCTAGAACTTACTATATACAAGTATCAACCGTTAGAATTTGTGACTAGTGCATATCCTAACCATGTATGTAAGCTCAAGAAAGCTCTTTATGGGCTAAAACAATAGCCAAGGGCATGATTTGGAAAGATAAGAGAATTTCTCGAACACAATGGGTTCATTATCACTTCAGCTGATGCTAGTTTATTTGTGAAGAAAAAGGAAGACAAGGTGGCTTTCATGTTGGTGTATGTTGATGACCTTATCATAACAGGTGATCATGATGAGATGATACTTCAATTAAAAGAAAATTTGTGTGTTCGTTTTCATATGAAGGATCTTGGAAAGCTCAAATATTTTATGGGGTTGGAATTGAGCCATGAGAGTAAAGGTATAATACTACACCAAAGGAAATATTCGTTTGATCTTCTAAAGAAGTTTGGAATGGAAGAGTGCAAGCCATCTGTGATTATAGTAGATAGAAGCATAAAATTGAGCTTGGATTTTGGGAGAGAACTTGAAGATCCAACTATGTATCGAAAGATAGTAGGTAGTCTGATCTACCTTACACTAACAAGGCCATATATATCCTTTATTGTGGGAGTGCTAAGTCGTTTCATGCAAAATCCTAGAAAGCCTCACCTTGAAGCTGTTCATCGAGTACTAAAATACATCAAGTCCACACTAAACAATGGTATCTTATTTAAAACAGATAAGGATTTCATGCTATGTAGCTACTCTGATGCAGATTATGCAGGAGATTTCGACACTCGAAGGTCTACCACATGATACATATTTATGTTGGGACAAAGTCCCATATCGTGGATCAGCAAGAGACAGCCAACAGTGTCTCTGTCAACCAAAGAGGCTGAATATAGAGCTGCAACCATGGCAGCCCACGAGTGTGTGTGGCTCAAACAGCTTTTGGAGAATCTGAATCAAGCAGTCAACTACAACATACCACTGTATTGTAACAATCTCTCTACAATTCACCTTGCTTAGAATCCAACCTTGCATGCCAGAACTAAACACATCGAAGTTCAATATCATTTTATAAGGGAAAGGTACTTCAAGGAGAAATTGATCTAAGATATGTTGAAACTTCAAATCAACCTGCAGACTATCTCACAAAGGGCTTGTCTGGATTGAAGCTGGCTGAATTGTGTAACAAGATTGGAATGATGGAAGTCGGTGTTGAGGGGGAATATTGAAAATACAACACCTTTATGCATCTGGTTTGTATACATTGAAGTCTCCACGTCTATGTATTATTATTTTCCTTTTGTACTTTGTTGATTTAGTCTCTTTAAAGTTTTAGAAGTAGTGACGTGCTCCACGTTCCTTGTAATGTTTATAAGGCGTGTGATGCTTTGTTTTCAGTTAATCATCCAAAAATAACAAACACCCTTAGTGTGTGTTTTCCAAAATGTGTGAAGTCTTTTGTTTCCTGTGTGTGTGTTTTATCTTCATCGTACATTCAAAGAACTTTGTGTGTGTGTGTTATTCAAGGTCTCTAGCAGGTTAACAGTTTATATGTCTAAGTGTCATCTCTCTTCCTTTAAGTTGGCTTTTGGGAGTAAGTTCTATAAGTTCTATACTTAAGTTCATATCAAGTTTGACTTTAAATAGGCAGAGGGAAAATATGGGCTGATGAATCGTGAAGCAATTATAACATTGTTTCTCGTTACTTCTTTTTGGATTTCTAATATACGAAAAAAATACAAGACGAAGTGTGTTGGTTGGCTCCACAACTTCTCTTGCTATTGTTTCTTTGTACTGAGCTGTGTAATTATCTTTTAGCTATTTTTGTTAGATTTTTAATTTTATTGCGGTTCATAATAATAATAATAATAATAATAAGTAACTTTCATCAAACCATCTCACTTTAGCATCTGAGCATCCGCATTCATTATTTATTACTCCATGTGTAGCTTCTCGACAATAAGAATGTCGTTGGATTTGCTTTTAGACTTTTAGTCTATTCCTGATTTTTGGATAAAGAAACTAATATTATTTCATTACTTACGAATCTTAGCCCTTACTTCTTAGGTGTTTTGATGTACGCCAAATGAGCCGAGTTTTCAACTCGTGTTAATGCTTTCAAATCATAAGCAATCCAGCACCTTGAATCATCCGTGTGGTAGAAATATCCCATGCATTTACAGTCCTTGGTGCATTTGCTTTCGCACTCGCTTTGCTTCCTTCCACCATCTCCCGTTGTGTACGTAATCATAAAATGGTCAACACCTTCAAGCTTGTAGTACCCAAAGTCACTTGCTTTACAAGACACCTTCTTTGCCTCACAATCTTTGCTCCACCCACTTAGTCCGTTTGGTGTTGGGCATGCGACACATTGGCTATTCTCACATAACCCAAACTTCCCACATCGTTCTGGCAACTGGCACTCGCCTTCCAAGGAACCCCTGTCGAGAAACGTGTATACCAGTTCCCAGGCGACGTCCTGCACATTTGGAGTATACGTGTAGAATCGAAGATTCCCATCTATCCCAAGTCTAAGATAAGATAACGTGTTGTTGTATCTTGAGTAGGCCATGAAGCGATTCGAACTGGATGAGGGGTTTGTGGTGAAGTAATCGAAACTCATATAATAAAGAAACCCCTCATCAGGATCTGTGACTGAATTAAGAGTTAGGTTAGTCAAACTACCCTTCATAATGGTGAACCATTCGATAGAGGACCAATAAAGCATTGGAATAGGCGAGTTGGCGCTCTTGTAATACATGGCTAGGTGTCTAGGCTCCATGACCAAGCTATATTGTCCATTGATGTTGTTCTCGTCAGAAGCTCGGCTCACCAGCATACTGGCACCACCAGCTCGGAGAGATTGACCCACCAAGAGAGTGTCCGTAGGGTAGTCAAAGCTTTGCCATATGAAATTTCCCTTGCCATCATGAAGAACCATGTTACCAGTTGGCAGCGTCTGAAAACTGACGACACCTTTGTTGGCGGTGTTAGTTTGCCAGGCAATCCGGCCACCAGAATCCGCCAGGACAAGGTTTCCATCTGCACCGAAGGTGAGGGTGGCGTTCTCACGAACTGGGTTTCCCCGGTTTGCTTCCCAAACCCAACGCATGAGGGACTTAGATCGGACTGTTCCCATACGAAGGGCTAGAGTGAATGCGTTAGGGGGTGGTGTTGTAGAAATAAAGCTGGAATGGGTTACTAAAAGGCGGAAGGGCGCGATAATTTGCATCGTACTCCACGAAATAATCTCCAAAATCACCTTCGTTTACGTACGTGAAGGTGTCTGAAGCAGGCACTACAGCTTCAGAAATGGTCCAAAGTAATTGAAAACTAAGCAAAAGTAGAAGAGAAGTTTCATAGATGGAATGGGGAGAAGCCATTTTGGGTGGTTATTTTAGAGGATGAAAGAACCCGTTTATATCGACTGTATTATGTTGAAACTGACGCTATTATCCAACATGTAGTGTACAGCCGAGCAATGCAGGGAAAGATAAATTCAATCATGTCTGTTTTCTTTTTATGTATTTGGAGGTGGGGTAGCTGTGCCCAGTCAATAATGGAAAACTAAAGTGTATAGCAACATGTTTTTGTAGTAGTTAGTGGAATGAATATTCTAATTCCACTAATATACAAACCTTAAAAATACTTTTCATTGGAAAATGACACATTAGTTATTCTAATTATTATTTATTTATTTATTTATTTTTTTGGTTTTATAGGGGCATCAGGTGAGTTGTGACCTTTTTTTTTTTTTTGTTTTTTTTTGTTTTATAGGGTATCTGGTGAGTTGTGACCTGCATTTTAGTCCCGTTAATCGAAATCATTCGGCAGAAGGCGCCACATGTACATTTTTTACCGAATCGACACTTACGTGGAGACAATATCATGGAACGTTTTTAAGAGCACATTCTCCTCAAATTGAAAAATCAGTGCATAACCCTTTTAATCGCTATCCTCCACCACCATGGCAAAACCTTTTTCGATTCGATCGTATTCTTCCTCCTAATCATTTGCCTTCTTTTGTCAACGCCGGAATCTCGATGGCCACATTCGTTTCTTGGCAAACCCTCACGGCTTCTCAAAACCCAAAACAATTTTGTTCAGCAATACATTTCCGAGACATGATATTTTCATTAGACAATTAATCATTTTAGCTTCGATGATCTTCCTATGTTCCAATAATGCTATCTTATCAACTCCGATCACTGGGTCGGCCCTAATCAACTTTGATCACATGGGGCACAACGGCAAGATGAAGAGGCAAGAGCGAAGTCTAATTTTGTGGCATAGTGTAACGTCCCAAAAATACCGAATAAAAATTTCATTTTAAAAATAAGTTAAAGTCATTCATTCATTGTTCCAAAAGACAATCAGAGTCAAAGTATTCTCAAAACATAAGAGTAATTTGTAAACATTCAGTGCAGAATAACACTCCAAGGGTTGCAGTGCGATCAAGTCGGACCCTTCCTTTTGAAAACGTTAGTACTTGAAAGCATAAACATAAACTATAAGCATAATGTTTAGTGAGTTCCCCAAAGTACCACATACCAAACATACAACAGCGCCTAGCCCTGTGGTATATTCCAACCCAATATACAATCAGGAGCCTAGCCTTGGGGCCCAGGCCTGGGGTCTCCTTCAACCCATTCATACAATAATGGGCCCAACCCTAGGGTGGTTCTCAACCCAATCATACAACAATGCAAGAGTCACAAAGACAGCTAGCATCCTACATATACAATTTAGTGGGCCGACATTGGTGCATTTGACCCACAAGCAGAATGAGAAGACTTGCCCCACTGTCTAAAAGAATAGTTGTACAGATCACTGCTCCAAAAGCTATCTCTACCAGTCACCTATACAAATTAACAGGGACCCAAATCTCAGACTACGATTCAAATGACTCGAAATGCCCTTAGGTCAATCTTGCTTAAAAGCATAGTCAAAGTCAATCTGACTAAGTATGCGCGCCCTGGGTACTCAGTCAGTATGTTGGGTGTAGTCGTGACTCACCCAAACCATGGGGTTCTAACCCAATATGCGCAACGTACCTCTTGGTACGCCCATCGTACTCCGTCTGGGTCAAAATCTTCTCATTAAGTGCTTATTCCTTAAAGACTCTTCATCCAAATTTAGATATAGACCCAAAACATCGTTCTAAGTCATAAAGTTTCCACCTTTATGACTTTCCATGGCTAGAAAAGGTCCAAAAGCTAAAAACCTAACTTAATAATCCATTATGACATCATAACTCTTGTAGGGAGAGGATACAAGGACCAAGATCACATTTTTATGGTTCCTAATACCTCCTTAATGGATAAAGTTTCCAAATTTATTCATTAGGATGTTCTAAATAACCATGATCTAATCTTTAAGTTTCAAAGGAACCAAAAATGCATCTTTCTCAACTTAGTGCTTTAAGTCCAAGTCTCCAACCTTCATATCTGAATCAATATGATATTTTAGATGGATAAAGTTTCCAACTTTATCCATAAAAAGGTCACAAACTTTTAAGATCTCAAGAGGGTGGAGGTTGATGTTAGGAAGGACCCCCAAGGGGTTAGAGACCTTAAATAGGGCTCAAACCCACGAAAATAAGGTTTTTACTTTGCGGCGGTACGCCCAGTGTACCTAAAGTTACGCCCAGCATAACACCCTAAAAACGCGACTTCCTCAGCCCAATACACACAACGTACCCCTAGTGTATGCCCAACGTACTGCTAGACTCCCTTTGCCTAACTTCAAACAACCGTAACTTCTTCGTTTCAACTCCGTTTTCAACGTTATTTATATGAACGGAAAGGTATTAAAGAGTCCCTCAATCCTATCTAACTACTTTTAACTTAAAAATATCAAACTAAAGTCCTAATTCCAAGAAAGAAGTCTGAAACATCACTTTTCCCGTTTTACCCCTTGACTCCAATACAAAAACTAAAGGCTTGGATCACATAACTAATATTATCAATATCCAATAGGTCTAAACCTTTTTCCCTTGAAGCCCAAGGCCTTTACTTGATCCATTTATTGTCCAAAATCCCAAAATAAGAAACTTCTCGAAACAGGATGTTACAACTCTCCCCCATTTAAATTAGATTTCGTCCTAGAAATCATTAATTATTACTTCCTCTGCAATGCTAGTCGATCCTGCCCGAACTTCCTGAATTCCATTTAAGATTGAAGATTCATCCCATACCGACGACCGCCTCCCAACCTTGCCATCTAAACCCCATCTTAGCAGAAACTACTCATCCCTTCGAAAAAAATGAACCTTAACACTCTGACCTCAACCAAGGAAAGAAACCTAATTGTCCTGCCTAAGAACTGAAATGTCACACCCCAAAACTGGAACGGCGGAAACGTTCGGGGGTGGAGGACGTCATGTTTAGTATCACAAGATATGTATATAGTAAGCAAGTAATGAACAACCATTTCATTTAGAAAGAAAGTGTTTACAATGTGTGTGTTCACAAAACATAGAATTCATAAGCAAATAACAAAACAAGACTTGAAGCTATAATGCTCCATCTTCTGAATTCCCAGCACGAGTACCTGTCTAATAGGCTCCTGAGAATACAAGTTATTTGAAAGAGTTGATCAGCAATTAAGTTGGTGAGTTCATAAGATTTTAGTGATGTGAGTAAGTTGTAAAATTTTGTTGAAAATGTAGTTGTAAAATGTAGTAAGTTGTAAGTTCTGTTTAGAAAAGTTTGCTGTTCCTATAGAAAATCCTATATTTCCTACTTTAATGAAAGATAAGTAAAAATGACTCTACAATCCTTTCTATGAGTACTAAATGGATACAAGTTATATAAAACTCAGAGTAAACAAACAATCGACTGTGCGCATCTGCCCTAAGCCCAGAACCAAACAAGGAACGGGAAGTAAGGCAGATTGCACACATCACATTGGTTATTAGATCATTGCTGTATATAACCCTGGTGTATTCACTTGTTACTCATGGAGTTAATTGTAATGGTTCCTTTATATTTAATGAAAAGATTCTTTAAGAAAACCCTTATTTCTTATAATAAAATGATGACCACAGTGACTACTTTTATAATAACTTAGTTTATACTGGATATATATGACCTAATATCGGATAGAAAGTTGACTGGGTGAATCTGCCCTAAGCCCACAACCAAACAAGGAACAGGAAGTAAGGCAGAACGCACACATCCAACTACCTATTGGGTATTAATTATATATAACCAAGGTGTATAAACTAGGGTATTATAGATTTAATCACCTAAGGTCCTTTAAGTTTTACTGGTTTAATAAAATGGATTAAACCCTTTACTGGTTAAGTTTCTAGTTTTGTATACCAAAAGTTCTGATTTGGAAAGTATGTTTTGTACTAGAAAGCTGTGCATTGAGTCTGTGTTTTATGACTTGACCCATACCTGGTACCCTTATGATGTCTTAATGTATACTAAGCATATATATATCTAGAATCGAATAGAAAATAGATTGGGTGAATTCGTTCCAAGCCCACAACCAAACAAGGAACAGGAAATGAAGCGGAGAGCACACATCCTATTACCTGTCGGAGCCTATTGGTATATATATATCCTTTGGTGTATACATTAAGGAATCATAAGGTTAGCATTATGGTCGTTTCTATTAAACGTAGCCTTCTACCAAGGCATCTACTGTTATGTGCTAGACTCGACTAGAAGTAATGAATAGCATCCTCCTAAACTATACCTATTATAGTTTACTAAAGTTTTACTTGAACTGTTATTGAAAAGACTCGTTTATCTACTAAGTTATGCTTGTACTTTAAAAACGGAGTTTTGTATAACTATAAAGTAACATAACTTTAAAAGAGTTTTTGAAATGTTTTGACAACTTATGAATGACATAAGTAACATTTTGAAAGATGTTTATAACAAAGAGTTACACAATTATCATTGTGTTCAACTTGTATTCCCCCCCCCCCTTAAAACATTTAAAACAGTTAAAAGATTCATTACAGGGTATGAACTCACCTGATGTGGGTGATTCAAACGGGTATGCGTGTAAGGATGAGAAGTTCCACGAATGAAGTCCCGAGACACAACAAGTCCTAAATGACATATAATGACATATATTGGCATGAATATAGTGCTTATAAACAACTATATGAAAGGAAACACCTTCCGGGACTAGGAAACACTTTGACCAAGTGTTGGAATCACATGTGATTCATCAAAGGGAAGTGGAATGGCACTAACTTGAGTTTACTACCATGGGTTTACAGCGAACGGAGTTTACGGCCGTAAACTCATGGTCAAACATGCCTAAATGTTGGTTTGAAGGCTAGGGAAGCTTTAGGGACTTTTGCTCTACACAAGGATGATAAAGACCATCATAAGGAAGGCTTTTGATGAGTTTACGGCCAAGCAAGGAGCTTACGGCCGTAAACTCATGGACATTATGAAGTGAG